GGAAAGGCCTGGCAGGAGCGGCATGGCCGACTCTACCTTCCAGGAGGTTCCACAGAAGAGGACGGGAGAAACAGCAACCCCGTCCGAACAGGTCAGAGGCAAACTCACGACTGAGTTGCGCAGGTCCAGTCAGAACCATAAGAGCCCCACCTACCTACGTGACTACGTAATATAGGCGGGGCCTGGATTGGTTAGACTGGACCACATGGGGAGGGGTGTTTTGCATACTCACCTATGATAGGTTGGTCCGTGGTGGCGGGAGATTTGAGGAGCCGTCATTGGCTATGAGCCGCAAGCAGCCGGCTATAAAAAAGGCTGCCGCGGTTTCTCCGTGTTCAGATTCTAGAAGGAAATAAAGCAAGAAAAAGGTCAACTGGGCCTCGAGTCTCCTTTCCTGCAACGCAACAGAAAGTTATGTGGAAGGGAAAATTGTGGAAGAAAAAGGTGCACAAGCATCAGGGATGACTGCAGCCTGGAGAGGATTGTCAGTAAAAGGCCATTCAAAAGTGTTGGGGACTTTCACAAGGAGTGGACTGAGGCTGGAGTCAGTGCATCAAGAGCCACCACACACAGATGGATCCTGGACATGGGCTTTAAATGTCGTATTCTTCTTGTCAAGCCACTCCTGAACAACAAACAACGTCAGAAGTGTCTTACCTGGGCTAAAGAAAAAAAGAACTGGTCTATTGCTCAGTGCCAAAGTCCTCTTTTCTGATGAGAGCAACTTTTGCATCTCATTTGGAAGAATGGAGAGGCACACACTGCAAGATGCTTGAAGTCCAGTGTGAAGTTTCCACAGTCTGTGTTGATTTGGGGAGCCATGTCATCTGCTGGTGTTGGTCCACTGTGCTTCATTAAGTCAAGGGTCAATGCAGCCATCTACCAGGAGATTTTGGTAGATTTTGGAGCACTTCATGCTTCCTTCTGCAGACAAGCTTTATGGGGATGCTGACTTCATTTTCCAGCAGGACTTGGAACCTGCCCACACTGCCAAAAGCACCAAAACCCGGTTCAATGACCATGAGATTACTGTGCTTGATTGGCCAGCAAACTCGCCTGACCTGAACCCCATAGAGAATCTATGGGGCATTGCCAAGAGAAAGATGAGAGACATGAGACTGAACAATGCAGAAGAGCTGAAGGCCGCTATTGAAGCATCCTGGTCTTCCATAACACCTCAGCAGTGCCGCAGGCTGATAGCTTCCATGCCACGCCGCATTGAGGCAGTCATTGCTGCAAAAGGGGCCCAAACCAAGTACTGAGTACATATGCATGCTTATACTTTTCAGAGGTCCGATATTGTTCTATGTACAATCCTTGTTTTATTGATTGCATGTAATATTCTAATTTTCTGAGATTGTGGATCTGGGGTTTTCATGAGCTGTAAGCCATAATCATCACACTTATGACAAATCACGGCTTGAACTATCTTGCTTTGCATGTAATGAGTTTATCTCATATATTAGGTTCACCTTTTACGTTGAATTCCTGAAATAAATGAACTTTTGCATGATATTCTAATTTTTCGAGTTTCACCTGTATAAATAAAAAGAAATATCCCTCAGGTCAACATCCCTCTTCTCATTTAGTTTGTACACCATTTTTAATGTCAACTCTGCCTGCACTAACAAAAGCCCTACGTTTTCTTATGGTGTTATCTAGTACTGTCACAGTACTGCCTACTTATCTGTCCCCATCCACACTGGGCAATATTTTAATGATATAATTTCCTAGTGAAGAATTTTTACCCATGGAGCTGTATTATTCTGTCCCAAATTCCTCATTTCTGCAATATCTTTAGAGCTAACATCATGGGAGCTGTTGCTGCTTAATTTAATTTTCCAGTACTTTATAAAGTTATACTTAGTTAATCTAGTATGTATTTATCTCCCTGTTCCTCCAGCTCAGTCATTCTGATCTTCAGGGAACATTTGTTCACTAAGAGATTGAAACTTATAGGATATCAAGAGTATACCCACGATCTGTGTTCAGCAAGGAGACATGATATTCAGTTCCCATCCAGTCTGACCATTTTTAGTAGCTTTATTTGTTTTGGGAAGTTTTAGTGAATCAATACATTGTAATGCTCCAGTTTTTGAAAACTTTTCTCATATTTATACTATCGTGTTATTCTACTTTTGGGGGTTTACTACAATTGGGCCCCTTTCCAGAGGTCTAATTTGTAAGCACAGATAATTATATCAACGCCTGAAGAGTTCAATTAACTGTTTTATTGCTCAAGAATTCTATACAGGAATCTTCTCAAACTAGTGGTTTGCACCTGGATAAGACTAGTTCAACGGCATTCAAAGCGGGGGGAGATCAGACTAATTCTCCATTTGACTCCTCCCCCTGTCTTGGTCAGCCTCTCTCTGACATATTTTATAAAAGAAGCAAGTCCATCCTATTGCAATTGCTGTAATTTATGTCACATTATCCAATCACACTTCTGAATTATACATTCTTCTTCCCTGCTATTTCTGTATTCTTCTCATAGATTATACCTCATGTCTTGGCTTTGTTATCAATAAAAAAAGTAAAGATTTCCCCTGTCTGGTCACGTTCAACTCTAACTCATCTGTTTCCTAGCCAAGGGAGAAAGCCATTCCTATTCATTTTCCTCTTGTATTTGTCAGTTAATAAATTAAAACAAACTGTGTTTTTCTTATTGGCAATTGAAGAGTAAGAATCCACAATTCTTTGGGAAAAGGAAGTTTAAGCAGAGTAATACTGCACACTGAATACAGTAATCACATCATCTCAGCTTGTCTGTGCCAGGCCACTTTGCAGACAATTGTTTTATTACACAGCCCATTGCTTTTGTTTAAGCACCTGCTGTAACTCCTAAACTGATGCTGAGATGAAACTTAGTCATCTTGCAAATGACTAGCCAAATACCTTCAACAATCTGACAAAATATTTAGAAGCAGAATACCAACTTCTATTTATTAGATACATACACAGTCACCACATAATTTCCCTTCAGGGTAAAGAACATTATGCACAGCATAGAAAATGAGCAATAAATTCTAAGCCAAATAAATTAAAGGCATAACAACAGAAAACTAAAAGAACTATAGTTAAAACCATTTACAGCAACACCATTTATTATACTTTCTGGGGCTTTCTGGTCTTGTGAATTATCCTTGCTTCCACTATGTCCATAAAGTACATCATACATTGCTTTTGTTCTTTAAATTTCTCACTGCACTTTTTCTGAGACTCTCATCAATGTCATCCATCCATTCACGAGTAACTTCTTTTGGTTTTCCATCATTCATTCTTCCATCATATATTTGTTTTGTGACTCAATCCTCATTCATTTATTTTGTATTCAATCCACATAAATTCAGCATCCATTTATTACTGATCCTATCTTTTCTTGTAATATTTAAGTATCACATTTCCATTCCATTCCCTTCCACTCTGACTTCCATATAACAAAAGGACTGAAGTACACTCTTATACACAGCTACTTTTGCATTTTTTTTTGGGGGGGGGGGGGGGGCAGATTCTTTCCTTACCAGATCACCTAATCGCACTAGCTTTCTATCAGAATTTGCATGTCTTAAAATGTCTCAATTTTTCATCTTCAGTAAACATTCTGCGAAAATACATTAAAAGTCATTATTATATTGGATTAGGATCAGAGAGACCCGTGTTTAAATCTAACCTGACCCTGCAACCTGGATAACTGAGCCAGTAACTCTCTGTCTGTATTGAGTTCCTGGAGGAAAAAGCACTATATAAAAATTGTCTACTTTCTCTGGTATTTTATCATTTATGTATAATTTGTAGATTTCAGTCTATTATCCCTATGAAACACATCTACCTTGATTTTCAGACATTAATTTTCGGAGCCATACTCTTTACTGCATCATTCTAACATTCACTGCAAAACATCATCATTGTAGGCACTGTGTAATTTTTGTGGCATCCAATAAAATAAAAGATTGCATTTTAGTGGAAAATAAAACTATGAAAGAAGGCTTAAGTGTGATGAACAGGTAGTCCTTGATTTATGATGACATAATTTCTGATGTTAAGTGAGACATTTGTTAAGTGAGTTTTGCCCCATTTTATGACCATTCTTGTCATAGTTGTTAAGCGAATCCCTGCAGTTGATGAGTTAATAACCCAGTTTGTTAAGGGAACCTGGCTTTCCAATTGATTTTGCCCATCAAAGGGGTTGCAAAAGGGGATCACAGCAACTATCATAAATTTGAGCCAGTTGTGAAGCATATGAATTTTGATCACATGGGGATGCTACAAAGGTTTTAAGTGTGAAAAAGGGTCATAAGTCATTTTTTTCAGTGCTGTTGTAACTTTGAACGGTCACTAAATGAATTGCTGTAAGTCAAGGACTATATAACATTACCGTTTTGTCACTACCTATGAACTGAGTCACTATATAATATTTATTAATAATAGAAGTTAGGGAAAAACAAACGAACAATGGCTCAAATGACTAGCTGCTGCAAAAGGCACTTTATCTATTTATTATACTTATACTCAGTCTATCTATCACTTGATAATCAGGACAGCTTACAACAGTTCAAAGAATTCAAAATGCAAACCAGAACAAGAACATACCCAAAATATATGAAAATAATCAAAAAAATCGATTCAATTCAATTAACAGATCAACTGTTAATTAAAAGGCTGGCTGAAAACTTATGCTTTCATTAAAATTATAAATATTGGTTTGTACTTTGTGACTTGCAAGAATCTGTTACAATAAAATAAATTTACTTCATCTAGTTGTGTTTTCTGTCTGGTTTACCTGAGAGGGCTGACAGAAGGTGAGATAATGCAAAATGAGTGGAATCATTTTTCCCCACAAATATTGCTATAGCTGGGATTTTTGTTATTAAAAAAATGAATGTGCTGACAACAGAACTGCCACAAAATCCTTTGTTTTAGAATTTAAAATTCTAAGTTAAAATATATTAATACCTTATAATATTATATTTTTGAAATTTCTCTCATTTTTTTCTAAGGAAATGACCCACACTTGGCCTCCACCACTTTCTGCTATCCACACACCTGGCAAAGTGGAACAAAACAAGTTTCTGTTCACAAACAAGGTAATTTGCTTTAGTCCAATCATCATTTTCCTCTATTCTGAAGAAGCGCTTTGCTGTAATTTTTGGAAAGGCAGTTTTGTCAAACGTGTTTAAATAAAAACACTTTTCCTTGTTTAATGGCTATATTTTGCATTTGAATGTGAATATAAACAAATGGTTTGTGAAAGAAAGGAAATAAAATATGTAATCAGAGTTTTTTATGGACTTTGCCATGATATATGTGATAGCATTGTTGAGAGTTGTTCTAGGATCCATTTTTTTCTCTAGTAAAACTCTGCACAGTGTATAGATAAGAAATAAATAGCAGAAAGAACAGATAGTTCTGAAAATCCAATAAAAGAGAATGTATGTTGCTTATGAAACATCTGCAAGCAACCAAGCTCACATACGAGAAGAACTCCACATTTCGGAAAATTCTTACATGTTGTGAATAGGAACTTGGTTGCTCACAATTTTATTAATGAGCTTTTCCTGGAACCAGCTTCTTCCAGGATATACTGTATTTTGCTTTCCAGCTGGCAGCTCTGGAAATCTCTAATGTTTCTTCTCCAGTCTTAGCTTCCAAGACTTCTGGATCAATGAGGCATTTTTATATTTAGATAGAAGATAGAGGTATAAATAGGAACAAAGATAAGGAATACTTCTCTTTTTAAAAGTATATACAGTATTTCAGGTATTCTAAAAATAGAGGTTTTTACCTCTCTGTTCTTTATGTAAAAAGCATAATTCTCTTCAGAAAAATTATTGAAACTCCATGAAAGAATAAAGAAAAGAAATGTAGGTAAAAACTTTTTTTATTAGAAGGAATAGCAAAAAAAAAAAAGTAAGACAACACCTGTCTGATCTTGATGAACTCAAATCACCAGGGCCTGATGGATTACATCCCAGAGTTTTAAAAGAGCTGGCAGAGGTCATCTCAGAACCACTGCACCATATCTTTCAAAAATCCTGGAGCAATGGGGAACTACTAGAGGACAGGAAAAGAGCTGATGTGGTTCCCATCTTCAAAAAAGGAAGAAAAAAAACAGACCCAGGAAACTATAGACCAATCAGCCTAACATCAATATCCAGGAAGATACTGGAAAGGATAATAAAAAAACAGATCTGCCAACATCTAGAAACAAGTAAAATAATAACTAACAGTCAGCATGGGTTGTTAAAAACAGATCATGCCAAACCAATCTTATTTCATTCTTCAACACAGTGACTAAATTAGTAGACCAGTGAAATACTGTAGACATAATATATATAGATTCCAGCAAGGCATTCGACAAAGTAGGCCACAAATTCCTTCTTAGTAAGCTAGAAAAAAGTGGAATAGATAGCACCAACACTAGATGGACTCGCAACTGGCTGACAAACCATACTCAATGAGTAGGGTCTAAGTCTGCATGGAGGGAAGTAAGCAGTGGGGTGCCACAAGGTTCTGTCTTAGGCCCAGTACTCTTCAATATCTTCATTAATGACTTAGATGAGGGAATAGAAGGGGAACTTACCAAATTTGCAGATGATACTAAGCTGGCAGGAATAGCTAACACCCAAGAAGATAGGCTCAAGATCCAGATGGATCTTGACAGACTAGAACACTGGGGCGTATCTAACAAATGAAATTCATTGTAGAGAAAAGTAAAGCCCATGCCCAGTTTAGCGAAGGGGGGGAAATCTCAATACGTCATGTGATGCAGCCATGATGACAAAAGTTTGAGACTCCTGCCCTAAAATAATGATTTCTGCAGGTTGTCTTTGCTTTCATAATTGCTGCTGTTGTTGTTGTTATATGGTATTGAAAGTGTACATTATTTGTTGTGATTGTGGCAATTCAAGATCTTAGATACTGCTTTTGGAGGACTGCAGTGCTAGTCTTTATTGTTTTAATATGCCTGCTTGCAGTGGGTAAATAAGAATTCACACATACTTTTTATGTCAGTGATTTTAATGTGTAAGGAGGATCTCTGGGATTTCTGGATGATTATACATTTCTTTGGAGTGCTTTTTATTCCAGTGTTAGATTTGAATAAATTTTGGTTAGTTGTGGGGGTCAAAAAATGCAGGTCTGCTCCGTCATACCTGTTAATCATGCAATCATAAAGCAAAGTGGAGGTCTCCATGTTACACTGGACTTGTCTGATTGATATATTACTGGATTGGAGAGTGGGTGAGGTGAGGGTGAGAGGAAGGGAGGGAGGGAGGGAGGGAGGGAGAGAAAGAGATAGATCATAAAAAGGGTAGCCAGCGCTCAGCTTCATACAAGAGTTTTTGATAGAAGGCTCTCAGATACAACCCATCTAGATAAAAATTACTGTCATGGATGAAGTTTTAAATACAGCAGCTGATCATTGCTTGCAGCACAAAGGTAAGATTTTTTATGGATGTCTATAGGGAGACATAGACAGGTCTATACAATTTGCCATGGCCAACTTGCCACAGTCAACTCACTGCAGGACAACTCACCAAGTTGCCACAGTCAACTCGCTGCAGGACAACTCGCCAAGTTGCCACAGGACAACTCGCTGCAGGACAACTCGCCAAGTTGCCACAGGACAACTCGCTGCAGGACAAGAGTTACACAAATATCAAAGAAATAATAAAATAGAATAATTGAAGAAAAGGTGCAAAAGGAGGGACAGAATGAAATGTGAAGGGAAAAAAATAAAATATTTTTAATTTATTTTAAATAATTAAATAGAATTGTTAAATTGTCCTTCAGCAAGTTTCCCCATGGAAGCTGGCCGTGGTGAGTTGTCCTGCAGTGAGTTGGCTATGGCAAGTTGGCCCATTCCGGATATAGACAGTATCTGCTCTTCTGAATTGACAAAAATATGTCTGATCTCTTGATGGTCTTGATAAGTAAGGTATATTTTCAAAATTATTCTGTCTGCTGAGAAACACTGGTACCTATCTTGCCAGTCTCAGCCCTTTCAAGCAGATGCTTACCTACAGGTGAAACTTGAAAAATTAGAATATCGTGCAAAAGTTCATTTATTTCTGTAATGCAACTTAAAAGGTGAAACTAATATATGAGGTAGACTCATTACATGCAAAGCAAGATAGTTCAAGCCGTGATTTGTCATAATTGTGATGATTATGGCTTACAGCTCATGAAAACCCCAAATCTACAATCTCAGAAAATTAGAATATTGCATGCAATCAATAAAACAAGGATTGTACATAGAACAGTATCGGACCTCTGAAAAGTATAAGCATGCATATGTACTCAGTACTTGGTTTGGGCCCCTTTTGCAGAAATTACTGCCTATCTCATATATTAGTTTCACCTTTTAAGTTGCATTACTGAAATAAATGAACTTTTGCACGATATTCTAATTTTTCAAGTTTCACCTATATAAGATTTATAATCAATTTAGTCACACACGTATACTGCTTTTATCCTTTGACAGCTCCACTTTACAAGAAATTTCAACATATTTACCTCTGTTCATTTGTGATTTGAAGAACTAATCACATCTAATTAATTAATCTGTAGGCAAATTGATTTGATGTACAGTAAGGACATAAAAATTAAATAGCTACATGTAGAATTCATTTTCATCATATTGAATATGTTTAAAACAAAAGTCCAGCTAGCAAATTAATTGTTTCCTGGATATGCCGTTTGTACAGCTGATTTAATCTCCTAGCTCAGTCTTCATCTGTTATACTGCTGAATTACTTTAAAAATGTATGTAGATAGCACAGGACTCTAAACAGATAGACTTTGTGTAAACAATATTATGGAAAAAGAACAAGTTCTGTCAGACAAAACTGAAATTTATTTGAATGTGGATTTAAAAATGACAAGCTTTTGGAATCAACTGGAAAAAGATGATAAGCTGGATGTACAAATGAAACCATATGTAACCATATATACTAATAATTAATGTCTTAATAATTAAAAGGAACACCCAAATAACAAACCAGAAAAGTAACTTGAATAATTTTCCTACATTGGATTTACAATCGTTTTCAGGGGGAGAGAGAGAGAGAGGAAGAGAGAGAGAGAAGAGAGAAAGAGAGAAACCTTTGGCTTCGTGCAAGGAAAGCAGCAGAAGCAGCAGAAGTCTTTCTTCCTCTCCTGGTGGCGTTTGGGGGAGAGAAAGACTTTTGCTGCTTTCCTTGCGTGCAGCCAAAAGCAGAAGAAGAAGGAAGCAGAAAGAAGCAGCCTGGTGGCCAGGCAATGCGTGTGGGGCAAGTGGGGCAAGTTCCCCCCTCTGCCCTTTCCCCCTCCCCTCACTACCTCGTGTTGTTCATAATGCAAGCGACACAAGCTTTGTGTTCCCTCAGGCTATGTGGGCAGTGCAGCCTTGTTCTGGCGCACCCTGGATTAATTGCTTTGAGGGGTGCTCTGGGGTGCACTTTTATGTAAGAATGGGCACTTTTTTGGTGGCTGGAAATCACATTTAATAAATGAAGTCAGCAACAGGAAGATATAAAGTGGATGAAGTTGTACTGGTGATTTTTAACAACTGAGATTGGAAGGAAATGAGAAAAATATTCCATCTTTAGGAAAAATAGCTCCTTGAATTTTTAAAATTTCTCTTAGAAATTTTAAATATAAGTACTTCCCAGTTTGTTGTATTTTGTTTTTGATTTACAATAAAACCATTTTAAAAATCATATGCAATTATTTTTATATGTAATTAACAATGAATTAATAAATATCAACCTAGTTTACAGTCTTGCATACAAGTAATACATCTTAGTAAATTATGTTGGATGAGAAAAATTCAAAGCCTTATATACCTGTTACATATTTCAATCTGTGTTCTTTTAGAGGGAGATCTAGGTATTTAAGCATCTAGATAAACATCTGTGGTTAAGACAGATACAGATAAAACAGAAACCATGAAATGGGTAGAAGAGGGCACTAACTACTAAAATATATGGGAAAGGGCTCCTAACAATTGTACTGAGCATAAAGTAATATAAATGGAAATAATTGACTATAGAAACACTTAAATTGGTTTACTTGCCATAGAATTCAGTTCAGAATTAACATTTGTTGTTAAAAATGTTGGAGTTTTACTAGATGCTGTAAAAAGAATCTAAATAGATGGGGTTACTGCTAACCCATGTTGAAATGACCAGAAGTGAAAAAGCTAGAAATGTTTCAGTGATTGCCAATTCAATAACATCCAGTGTTCACTTGCAAGAAAACCCACAAACTATTTGTATTTTTGGAAAACTGACAATTTATTTTTGTAAAAGGAGTTCAAATGTCTCCTTGCATGTAGACTGAGTAGGTGGCCTCAGTAAGTCACCATATCTCAGCCTTATTTTCCTATCTGTGAAATGTAAGCTACAGTAAACAACGACTAACTGTGATAAATTCAAAACAGAACTCTTATTGGTTTTTTAGATCCACTGATGGATCGGACTATTAACTATAAACGAGTTAAATGTATCTTGCTTGGAGGGAAGAGGAAGTTGATTTTAATTTATCATCTTCATTCTGTGACTCAGCCAACCAAAAATGACAAGTTTACCTGAAATTGCTCATAATTTTGGTTATATGCCATTTAGAAAGTTGTTAATCCTTATTCACTGTTAAAACTGCACATATTTATGTTAATTAGCTTTATTGTTGAGTTTGCTTTTGTTTACAGTGAAACAAAAAATGGCTTTTGATAATGATATTTTATAGTGTTTATATTTATCTAGGGCACCATTTCCACATATTGAAGGCAGACACTGAAGATCAGGAAACCATAAATAATATACAATAATGCATTCTCAGAATGAACAAGGCATTTGCAAATACAAATTATTTCAGGTTTCTTTGTACATCTTTAAAAGTTCCATTATTGCATTGAATTATTCAAAGCAAATTTGAGCTAACATACTTGAAAGACTTAGCAATGACTGCCAAGATGATGGAGATGTTTCATAAAAATATCAAAACAGTATCCAGTATGGCATAATTTCTCATCGTTGTTGGATTATCGGGATTTGCATGCTACACCTGCTCTGGATAGAACAGATTCTTTCTGTTGGGATTCAGGTTCTGGCAATGCTATACTTAAGCCGTTGTTCCTGATGTGCTGACATGCAACTGGCAATGGCTCTAAAACTATGTTGCTGGACCCCAAATCCTGCTAGGGTAGTTCTGCCAGTCTTTGTTCTCTCCACCATCGTCCTGCCTTTCCTCATGCACAGGTGCTACACTAGCATGTGTTCCTCATGTAGGAATATAGAGGAACATTAATGCTGACACTACTATTCATCCATGACAATTGGTTCCAAGAGGGTCCCCAAAACATGGTGTAATGTGAGGTGACAGGTGAGAGACTGCAATTATAGTGATACAATATTATACATCAGTGGTCACCAACTAGTGGGCCGCGGACCACTGGTGGTTTGTGAAAAAAATTTGGTGGTCCGCAGAGAAATGTCCCCCAAATCACCCCCAAAGCAATTAATCCAGGCTGCGCGGGAACACAAGGCTGTGCCGCCCACTCGGCCCACCCAGCCGCTGGCCCCCATCCTTAGGCCAAGCGCAAACCTTACCTTGAGTAGAGCCATGCAAGCTGGAACTGGAATGTAAGAACAGCGGCAGGGGAGGGAAATCCACCCCAGGGTGGCTTGTTAATGTTGGTGGAAAAGTGAGTCCCACATTCCAGGATGACCAAAGGGCCAGTCCTGTGACTACTGAAGCTCTGGAAAATGGGACCAACTTTCCCACCAATGACAGCAAGCCACTGTCAGTCAAAATTCATATTAGTGGTCCACGGGATTTAAAATTATGAGTTGGGTGGTCCCTGAGGTCCAAAAAGTTGGTGACCTGTTGTATGTGATTATACTGGGAATATATTTTGCCTTTATCAGTCATCGGTTTTAGTTTAATTTTAATTATAAGAAATTAAAATATTAATTTTAATATTAACTTCATTTAGTATAATTTTGATAACTGTTACACTTCAGTTTTGCATGTGTATGTGTGTGGTCTGTTATTTAATGCATTTTAAGTGGCTTCTATATCCATTGATAATGACATACTTGTTTTAAAAGTTGAATAAGGAAGGAATAACACAGGAAATGAATAAGGAAGGAATAAATTCTATGTTTTCTATTGTGGAGATTACGTCAGAGTATTGATCAATTACCAAAGCATACGTTTGCAAAGAGTAGCATAAGCCAGAGATTCCCAAAATTTTTACGTTCATGGTGCCCCAAGCATTTCCCAAAATATATGAACTCACTAGCCAGCAGCTTAATTTATGAAGTTACAGAATAGCCTGCAGAATTTATGTGAGTTGCTCAGTGCTCAGTTAAAACTACTGACATTATCCAAGCTAAATGCTATTGTTCAGTCAGCAGTCACTTGCCTGTACAATTGTGACTAATTTAGCATTCCCAAAATTCTGCCACGTGATATTCACCAGTAAGGGAACTGGGTTCTTTCCACAGATGGTGCTCAGTTCGAACAATTTCCTCTGGCATATAATAATCCACTATGGTTGTAATTACTATTTGTATGACTTCGTACACTCTCTAATATTTGTGGTAAAATACAATATACTCTGCATATTGTCATTTGGAGAAACAATAAAGCGAGAGCTGGAGTGCTTGATTGTTTTGGAAGTGATTCTTGGAGTTTTCTTCCTAGATGAAGATCTCTCCCATATATCAGTTGTCTTCAGCAATGGATCAGAGAAGGAAAACCCTGCTGTGTGTTTCTAGCATGGATGAAATTCTGTCTAAGAATGCACATGAAAGAGATGCACATAGTCTCTTTGTTGCTAGGGATAAGAAAGAATAGTCCAAATACTCTGTACAGTAAATAACTTTCTATCATGAGTGTCAAACTTTAATATTGTTCAGATAAATTATTGTCACTGTACCACTCCATGTATTTAATTATCAATTCCATGTCTTTGTTCTTCAGGACCCCCAACATGTCTCTACAGGACACAGCAATCAAAGTAAGAATAACTTTCAAATTCACAGTTGCATTTGATGGAAGTTGAATATACCATAAGATAAATTGGCAAGGAAAAAATAATGTTTGATACATTTTGAATGTGTCCATTGTGTTTTTTAAAACTGGAAATCCTTTGGATACAACTTCTACCAACTTTTAAATTGTAGTTCTGGTCTCCAAAAATTAAATTAGATATATGTACCTTAGTTTGAGATAAATATTCTAGCTTTTAGGAGATATTTGTAGATTATTTTGTGAAACAATGACAACATGTTCTTTATATCACTATATCTTCTACTCTCCTGCAATGACATTTCCAAATTTCCTGTTATGCTTCACTCTAAGAGGGCATAGGGAATGGCCTTGAAGGACAAGAGGGGGAACAGATACCAAGGCAGCGGTCAGATAAGAGAGGCTTGAGCTAGGCCAAGAAAATAACTTGAGATACCCTTTTCAGACAATCCATTTCCTAGTTTATATGAATATAAAGAGGAGGGGAAACACATTCAGAATGGCAAATTTTTATTACAATAGCTATTACATTAAAAATAATTTGACCCATATGCTATTAGTTTCTTAGCCTGATCTGCCTTCCTATGCTGACATTCACTGTTAGGGTAATAAAATATGTTAATAATATTATATTTCTTTAATTTAATTAATGTAGCTTCCAAACATAGAGAACTGGATTCTAAAATAAATTAATTTGAGAAAGTTTACTGAAGCTTTCCTCTTTGCCCTGGAAGTACTTAATGTACTTCCACACATAGTTTGTGCAGATGATCATGGATCTTCTGGCGAATAGTAATATGGAAAGGTTATTGTATTTGAACTATCCTAAGATCCAATTTGTATATTCTTCCACACTCCAAGCCATGGCTTTTTTCATATTGTTTAAGATAACTGACTTTTATAGAAGTTTTATGGAGGCACAAAAGAGGAAGTAACAGATGCGTTTTGTTCTGTGGGGTTAACTTTCATTGGAATCTAACTCATTGTGTTGACATGAATGCACAAGGTTTATAAATTCTGTCTTTCTTATTTTCTCATAGGCATATCCATATAAACAGCAGTAATTTAGGTCCATGTAGATGTTGTAAAACTATATGGGCTCTTTGTTGCAAAGAATTATTTTGTGATACGAGTTGGGTTATCTGCTGAGCAAGCTAAGCATACATAAACATGTTAAGAACCAATTGTTTTACTGTGGGTTAGCTTACCATATTTCTGAAGAATGATCATGGAAAGAGAAACACTTGACAAAATGCAGTGCAGTGCAGAGAAGTTTAATTGCCAGTAAACATTTGATATTATTAAGAAAAAGAATACAAAGTTACAAAAAACAGAGGGGGGGCATAGTTACTCTAAGTAGGGGAATGGTGCTTTTTATGAATGATTTACTTACAAAGAGATTTGTACCTAGCTAAAAATCTCAAGTGGTGATAAAGAAAAATAAGAAAAAACACATGATTCTGAGAAATGGCAAAAGTGTATTGCTACAAAGATTTTGGTTTTTCCCCCTTCTCTTCTCAACCCATTATTACTCACAACCTCTACCAATTTTTAAATTGTGTTTTGGTCTCCAAATTGCTTCACTTATCAACTTTTGATCCCAGAATTTATGAAATAAATTTTGAAATTATTCTCCTCCTTATATGTGAGTGCAAAGATATTTCTGACACAGGAAGTTATACACAAGGCTATCTAGCACATAACTTGAGCATGGATTACCTATTCTTAATTTTGGGGTAATCTCTTTCATTTATGTAGCACTTCAAGTATCAGGTGACTGTTCAGTTCTACATACATAAATTAACCTGTTGGAAAAATTCAGTATGCCATGTGTGTTGGACACTGGTACAGAGGTGGTATTCAGCAGGTTCTGACCAGTTCTGGAGAACCAGTAGTGGAAATTTTGAGTAATTCAGAGAACTGGCAAACACCACCCCTGACTGGAGATTTTACAGTATCCTTTCCCTGCCACGCCCACCAAGCCATGCCCACAGAACCGGTAGTAAAAAAAATTGAATTCCAACACTGCACTGGTACCAATATATGTAGTAGGCTAGAAACTGAGCAAAACCTCCAAATTGAGTTACTTTGGAATGTGAGCTTTCTTTGATGAAACCTAAACAATTAATATAAAGAAAGAGAAAAACTTTAGTTTGCAACAAATTAGGGGAAGAAAGAAATAGCACAACATGGACTACATTTAAACATAATGCTAATTTTACCTTTACAAAAATGAGCAACCTTTCTACAGTCTCATGTTCTAACTCGGAAGTGTCAAACTGGATTTCTTTGAGGGCTGGATCAGCATTGTACTTCCCCTCCGCAGCCCAGCTGGGGGGAGGCGGGCAACAAGGGGGGGGAGATGGGACAGACACCTCTTGCAGCACCCTGCTGACCAAAACAGGGCACGCAGAGGTCTTGCAAGACCCCTGTGCGGCCTGTTTTTAGACTTCCATGGCCTCCTGAAGCACTCTGCTGGCCCAAAACGGGCCACACCAGGGAACCCCATGGCCCATTTTGTCCAGCAGAGGCCAGTCCTTTGATATTTTCAGGCCAGCCCCTTGGGCCAGATTTAAGCACCCCGCAGGCCAAATGTGGCCCATGGGCCTTGAGTTTGACACCTATTTTCTAACTGATATGGTCTATGAAAAACATTGCAAATACTTCAATTTTCATTTGAACGCACTTGTTACAATATCAGATTCTGAACCTTAAATTGCAACTATGGTTTTAACAAGTAATTATACAAAGAAGCTAGAATACACATTATTATTTCACAATCTACAGCTAACTTTTTGGTTCAGATGTAATATGTTTAGTTTAAAGGTATGAACAAATGATTCTTATTTCTGTTCAGCCATCCCAATGTAGCGGAACTGCAGAAAAAAGATGCTGGTTTTCAAAACACAGTACAGTACTAATATTTAGAATATTTGCATACTATTCTTTACCAGGAAGGTGCTAGCTACCTCCCTATACTTTAACAGCCAATTAAAAAGAAGATTAAATAACTTTTTTTTTCAAAAAAGCTTAGAGATAAATGGAATGCCAAAGTAAATGTATCTAGCTGTCCAATTTCCATTTCAATAATACTAGTTAATAAGACAATGAAAATCTAACTTTCTTGATTGTGAGCACCTCCTATGAACTTGGCACCAGAGGAAGAAAGGGGGTATGCTAGCTACATCTCAGTAATGTTTAATGCAATGTGGTTTAGAACATGGGTAGACAACCTTTTAAAGCTAGGTCCTCGTTTGAAATTTTTCAGGCTTGTATTGGATGCACTTATACAATTGCTTTCTATTCACAAAGTGGCTTTTCCCAGTGGGCAGACCAATTGCAAAACATCAATTTACCTAAGAGCAAAGTAGCCCTCCAAGGATGATCTCTGTCATTCCATTGGGACCTTTATAGTGCCCGAAGGCATTGTTTATTCTAGATATATGGATATGAGAATAGGGTTTGCTTCCTTTTTAGTTCTTTTTAAAAAAAAAACATTTTTAAGTACATGAACCAGACAGTCTGCACCAGAGAAGTATCTAGAGACACTTTGTTGCTTCTGCCTGTTTTGGCAGGAATCAGGTAGGCGTAGTAAATATGCATATTCTCCATGTGCTTCCCAGAATAAACATTGAGATTCCAGGTTTTTCTGAGATCCTAGCACTGGGTCCAGGTAAATATTTCAGGAGCCAGCAATTTTATAATACAGGGCATTTTCAGGACAGTTTTTCCCTGAATGCCAACACTCTGCTAAACAACTAATTCCCACAACACTGTCAACTTACTTACTAAGACTGTATTATTATGATTCCTCTACTACTAGATTATAATAACACTTTGTAGTACCTATCTTTTCCTACTTATGACTATAACTGGGTTTGCTTGTATCTTTAGAATTTATATTGTTTTATTTGTTTCCTAGTTTGATTGCTTATTAGTAACCTATGACTATCACTAAGTGTTGTATCTTATGATTCTTGATGAATGTACTTTTTTCCTTCATGGACACTGAGAGCATATGCACCAAAGACAAATTCCTTGTGTGTCCAATCACACTGGGCCAATGAAGAATTCTATTCTATTCTATTCTATTCTATTCTATTCTATTCTATGTATAAGAAATGAAAAATTTAAGAGTCAAATCCAGTGGTGGGATTCAAATAATTTAACAACCGGTTCTCTGCCCTAATGATTTCTTTCAACAACCAGTTCACTAAATTGCTCAGACAGTTAACAATCAGTTCTCCTGAAGTGGTGCGAACTGGCTGAATCCCACCACTGGTTGAATCTCATATGACAATTATTTCTCCAGTAAGTTAAGCCCAACAGCCTGTCTCCTGAAATTACACCATTCACTGTGTTCTCTGTACCCTCTGCAATTACAAATGCTATAGATCTAGCTCTAGAAATAATTGTTCCTCTTTAGGGGAAGAATAGACAAGCAGAAATTTGTTCTGCATTAACAGATGGTTCATTTTATAGCAAACCACTTAAGATTCTGGTTTGCTGTTTAATTTTTTTTGCTTATTTGTTGAATTTCAAATAGATAGTAAGAAGCAGTTACACATTTACAGAGAAATGTACATGTGAGGCACCCTGTATTTTTTAAAAAATTCCCAGAATATATTAAAATGTTTCAAATAATTATTTTCCTTGGCATTTCAAAACCTGCAGTCACACCAGGTTTCAACTTTCTCAGGGATACATCTCAGCTGAAGAAGCCTAAATATTTTGTAAAAAAATATTTTTAAATTATATAGCTTCCTATATTGTATAAGTGTCTAGGTGGCTATTATACACATAATAGAATCACAGGATTAAAATTTGAACACACCATTCTCACATACTGATAGTGAAATTTTCTCTAAATCTATTAGACAAAAGATCCCATTTTTTTAATGAGACTCCTGGATAACTGCAAAACGTTTGAGAGAGATTCGAGCTTTTGATTATTCATACCTTTTCTGGACTTTATCACCATCTACATTCCTTTTGATGATACTTTTCAGAAATGACTTCACATGATATAATGAATTGGGCAAATCCATGACTGCATAGAACATTTCAAACTGCCAGCACAATCCTGGTTTGACCAATCACATTGCATGCATTTCTCCAAATATAGTTACTTTGACATTACAGTACTTACTGCATTTAGAATATTTCGCTAAGGATGTCTTTTATGTAATGAACTGAAGAGTACAAATGCATTGTATTTAGGCAATTTAAGAAAGAAAGAAAAGCAATTATTCTGATTTATTTATTGTAGTTCTACACAATACAAAGCCACACATTTAGTGTCCTAAAGAACATCCCACTATCATATCAGGCCAAGTGAAGCTATCTTTCCTATTGTTACTCCACTTTTTTGCAAAAATATTTTGAGAAATCATATTTGACTTTTGCCTGGAAACTTCATGTCAAATGCTTCAAAGATTTTAAGGTTGACCTTAGTGTAAAATAATAGTTTGTTGTTAAGCTGCCACAATATTCTATTGCCTTACATAGTTCTCCCCCCCCCAAAAAAAAAAAAACACAAAACAATATTTTTGAAGGCAGAATTGTCCTTTGACAAGTTTTTTTTTAGTAACTTGAGCTTCCTATAATTCACAGACCTAGGAACATTCAGAAGGAAATCATATTGATCCACTCCTATAGTACTGAAGGGACAGAGAGATAACTATCTAGTAAAACAAAACTGTTCTCTAACAACTGGTTCTTTGGAGAATACGCTGCTTCCATGTACTGTATTTAAAAGAATGTGCAGTAAAGCAGCTTCTTGGATATAATGTAAGTAGAGAAATGTATTTTGTAAACTTAGAGCCACAGAGTTACCTAACACATTATCCTTAGCTTATTAAAATTCATGTTTAGTTTATTGCTGACTTAAATATATGGAGTTTTTTTTTTTAAAAAAAACTGCTATTCATTTTCAACTGTGTTTCTTATCACAACTACAGAATTATTCTGTCTGCTGAGAAACACTGGTACCTATCTTGCCAGTCTCAGCCCTTTCAAGCAGATGCTTACCTACAGGTGAAACTCAAAAAATTAGAATATCGTGCAAAAGTTCATTTATTTCAGTAATGCAACTTAAAAGGTGAAACTAATATATGAGACAGATTCATGACATGCAAAGCAAGATAGTTCAAGCCGTGATGTGTCATAATTGAGATGATTATGGCTTACAGCTCATGAAAACCCCAAATCCACAATCTCAGAAAATTAGAATATTGTGAAAAGGTTCAATATTCTAGGCTCAGCGTGTCCCACTCTAATCAGCTAATTAAGCCATAAAACCTGCAAAGGGTTCCTGAGTCTTTAAATGGTCTCTCAGTCTGGTTAAGTAGGAAGCACAATCACGGGAAAGACTGCTGACCTGACAGTTGTACAGAAAACCATCATTAATACCCTCCGTAAGGAGGGAAAGCCTCAAAAGGTAATTGCAAAAGAAGTTAGATGTTCCCAAAGTGCTGAACCAAAGCACATTAATAGAAAGTTATGTGGAAGGGAAAAGTGTGGAAGAAAAAGGTGCACAAGCATCAGGGATGACTGCAGCCTGGAGAGGATTGTCAGGAAAAGGCCATTCAAAAATGTTGGGGACGTTCACAAGGAGTGGACTGAGGCTGGAGTCAGTGCATCAAGAGCCACTACATACAGACGGATCCTGGACATGGGCTTCAAATGTCGTATTCCCCTTGTCAAGCCGTTCCTGAACAACAAACAACGTCAGAAGCGTCTTACCTGGGCTAAAGAAAAACAGAACTGATCTGTTGCTTCTCCTCTGATGAAAGCAACTTTTGCACCTCATTTGGAAACCAAGGACCTTGAGTCTGGAGGAAGAGTGCAGAGGCACACACTGCAAGATGCTTGAAGTCCAGTGTGAAGTTTCCACAGTCTGTGTTGATTTGGAGAGCCATGTCATCTGCTGGTGTTGGTCCACTGTGCTTCATTAAGTCCAGGGTCAACGCAGCCATCAACCAGGAGATTTTGGAGCACGTCATGCTTCCTTCCGCAGACGAGCTTTATGGGGATGCTGACTTCATTTTCCAGCAGGACTTGGCACCTGCCCACACTGCCAAAAGCACCAAAACCTGGTTCAATGACCGTGGGATTATTGTGCTTGATTGGCCAGCAAACTCACCTGACCTGAACTCGATAGAGAATCTATGGGGCATTACCAAGAGAAAGATGAGAGACATGAGACTGAACAATGCAGAAGAGCTGAAGGCCGCTATTGAAGCATCCTGGTCTTCCATAACACCTCAGCAGTGCCACAGGCTGATAGCTTCCATGCCACGACGCATTGAGGCAGTAATTTCTGCAAAGGGGGCCCAAACCAAGTACTGAGTACATATGCATGCTTATACATTTTAGAGGTCCAATATTGTTCTATGTACAATCCTTGTTTTATTGAGTACTTGTAATATTCTGATTTTCTGAGATTGTGGATTTGGGGTTTTCATGAGCTGTAAGCCATAATCATCACAATTATGCCAAATCACAGCTTGAACTATCTTGCTTTGCATGTAATGAATCTATCTCATATATTAGTTTCACCTTTTAAGTTGCATTACTGAAATAAATGAACTTTTGCACGATACTCTAATTTTTCAAGTTTCCCCTGTATGCCACAACATATTGACATTTACAATTATGGCTCATTTGCTAATATTCCTATTCTTTTGTTTTTCCAAGGAAAAGATGACGCTGAGCCAAAGAATACAGACGACTGTACCTTGCATACATCGTAAGTCAGCCTAATATTTATGGATTGTTAAATGGTAGCAATTTTTCCTGAAGGTGTGTCTGTCAAAAAAGTCAAGGTGATGGCTGCTACTGCATAATCAAAATCCTGCTTCTTATTTACATGCACCACTGCCATCTTGCTTTTTGGACCCTCCCTCCAAGGACACTTCTGTTTAACATACAAAAATCTCTTTTGGATTTAAAATATTACTTTTGATACTTTGGAATATTGTTTCAATGAAAATTATAGCAATTGGCTAGTCTAGCAAAAATCCTTGATTTCTAAAGAGACTGTATCAAACAACAATATATACCTATTTTTGAGTTAGCACTTTATAAAAAAAAATTATATGACAAAAGGAGTTTTTCTCTCTAGCTAAAACATATAGCATATGTTGCTTATGATTTACTGTTTAATTTTCCGTGGCTGAGATTACAGTTTCATCTTTCAGTTGCTGAAATCCAACTGAAAGAATTAATATGATTTCTACAATTTGTTGAGGATTCTGAATTAATAAAATCAGAAGCACAATAAATCACAAAATATGATTCTAATGAAACAATGGTAGGTTTTAGTGGTCTGCATGTCAAAAAATTTTCAAGTACTGCCCACCATTTTTATTATGATCAGGAACAACTAGATCCAATAATGTTTATTTGGTGCTAGGTGTTCTTGACAACAATTTAGAATAAAATAATATCTCAAATAAATCTATAGTGATGTTTGTTGTAGCTATGTAAGCCCCTTTCTTGTAAAAATTATTAGCAAAAATAAGAATCTGATTGGTGATTAATAATTGTCATGTATATTTTAGTCTATACACACAAGTACCCTAATACATTGTGCTTTGGTTTAGAATATTTTTGTTCTTTAAATGTGATCTTTAATTATTTCAGCTGTTGTTAGGAATTGAAAATGCTTTATACTGTATTCATTTTAGTAAAATCAAATTTGAATACATATATTTATTATCTATTAACGATATATTGAAGTTCATTGGCTCTGAGTGGTTACAATAAAACATTAAAAATAAGATAAACAAAAACGGAGAGTAAATATGGTAGAGATGACAAGAAACAAATCTATCCAATTCAAAGAAGAAAGGGTTAGTCACTAATAAATCATTTTCCTAAATTAGGGTTTGAACTTGGCTTCTTTGAAATATATTTCAGAACTTTAAATGTAAGTCAGATAAGAGAAAAGCTGAAAATGTATTGTTAGTTACAATTTCATTTGTGATGTATATGGAATAGTTAAGAAATTATTAAAGAAAATGTAAAAACTATATATATGAACTAATCGTTGCTGAAAATGAACATTAGACTTCTCAATCATTAAGGAACTATGTTCCAATCTCTAAATCAGATATGCCTAGATCAGTTTGTCGTTTTATCTATACAGGACATTAGGCATAAATGTGTAGCCTTGGACAACTTTTGCTGTCATAACATAGATATTCTCTCTCTGTGTTTTATTCTCTCTTTCTCTTCTTTCATGGGCACATTTAGTATATATCTAGTATATTTATACTAAATATGTCCATGAAAGAGAAAGAGAGAATGCATCTATGTTAAAACAGCAATTTGTTGAGAAGTAATATATATCTAGTATATTTATTAGAGGAGCATGCTGGCTCACATGGTTAGGATGCTGGATTGAAGGTTAGCAAGCCTATGTTTGAGATCCGCGAGGTGAGCTCCCATCCTGCTGGAATTCTAAAGTCCCAAAGCAATTTAACTTCTGCATTTTCTATGACTTTCTCTATTTTATGGTCCCACCAGTTCTTGCTTACAGGTAAATGATATTTCTTGCAGATCTTCCAATGCACCATTGTTTCTATTTTGTCATGCTGCTACTTGTAGTCAGTCTGTGCGATCTTCTTGCAGCAGCTTACTAGATGTTCCACTGTTTCTTCATCTTCTTTCCATAGGTGGCAATTATTATT